ACACGCTCACACACACACACACGCTCGTGCACACACACACACACACACACGCTCACACACACACACACACGCTCACACGCTCGTGCACACACACACACACACACATGCTCACACACACACGTGAGCACACACACACGCTCACACGCTCGCTCACACACACACACATGCTCACACACACACGTGAGCACACACACACGCTCACACACACACACACACACACATGCTCACACACACACGTGAGCACACACACACACACATGAGCACACACACACACACGCTCACACATACACGCTCAAACGCTTGCGCACACACACACCACCTGCTGCATCAGCAGTGTAGTTGGAGTGGTGCACGAGGAGGAAACACAAACGAAGCATTTTAACAACAAAGCAACATTTTTGACCTCGAGGACCCCCCCCCCCATTCCGAGCATCACTTCCCTCTCAGATGAAAACCCTGCAGCTGTGGGACAATTATGGGATGTGAACTAAATCTTTAACCTGGAGGTTTCTCTAAACTAAATAAATGAAGGACAATGTCCCCAGCCTGTCCAGCTGTGTGTCTCAAGGGAGTTTAGCCTCCCACACTCCAGCTAGACCAACGACCCCGAACCCTTCCCCATGATGGATGTGACATCACATCGCTGCATGACGGAGATGACCAGGTGGTTTTTACCTCCATCAGGTTTGAACACAGTAGTATTTAACCCTTTAGGTTCCTTGGGGCTGATGGGTGGAGAGTTGCTGCTTCAGTGCTGCACACACACACACACACACACACACACACACGCACGCACGCACACACACACACACACACACACACACACACACACACACACACACACACACACACACACAGCTGTGCACCACGAGCCTCGGTGACTAGAGACAGCCTCACCAGTCTTCACTCAGCGGGAAAGAGGAACCTTTTAGTAACAATTACATTTTCTCAGCCGCCTCTTCAGAAATACGAGAGCCGAGCGAGCACATGGAGGGTCTTTCAGTTCGCCTCAGACTTTCTGAGCCAAGCCCTCGAGGACCAGCACTCACAGATTAGCCAGCAGCTGTCACAAACCAGAGCGACTGAGCCGAACCAACAGGACCGACGGCAGCAAGCTGAACTGTGACAGTCAGTCGACCTTAGCCACAGCGGCGGGACTCATATGGAGGCAAACACATGTGCAGCTCTCAGGATTAATGAGTTCACTGAAGCTAAAAGGCTTTCTGCTCATGGGGTAGCAGCTCAGCACATCCATCCCAGTCCCAACGCTCCACCACATTCCTGACCTCAGCCTGGCTACGGAATAACACGGATGTAGGGTCGGGGATGGAGGTCTGACAGCTTCACCACTACTGTCAGCCTCATGTGGGACAAAACTGGAAATCAGCTCCAGGGAGGAGAGTGTGATGAGGTAAGCTGGAACCACTGAGTCAGTGGGGGGGGGGACTGGCCATCTTGCAGACCTGGCGTTGTCCCGGTGGGCCACCCAGGTCTGCAACGCATCAGTCAGCAGCCCGACCGCTGCTGCGTCTAGCGCGGCAAACGTCCAGAACGTCCATCAGGGTGTTCGCTGTCCACACGTGATGCATGTTTGTAGTTTTCAGGAAGTAAAACGATTATCCAACGAGTAGAGGAGAAGAGGTCAGCCATTGTGTCTGATGATCATACGTGGGTTAGGGTTAGGGAGCATCACCATAACATCTCAACTCCAGGTCCATGCTAGGTTTAAGTGGGATTTGAGGATATCAGAGAGTGGATTTTGTTTCTAAAGATTTATTTTCAATAGATGAACATTAAAGGGCGAGTCACATCCTGGGTGGAGACTGTTAAACGTGCCTAAAGGAGGCGTCGCCTGGCGGGCAGACAGCGGCGCTGAGGCAGTGACTGCAGCACTCCACTCAGCACCGCCCTCGTGCTCTGTCA